CTACATTTATCATAAAATGGTTTGTTTCTTGGTCTTATAGTGAAAAGAATGGATTATTTTTAATGTTTTCCATATAAATTACATAACCATTGGGTTGACCTACCAACCCCATTGCCATTCCTAGTTCGCGGGCATTACAAGTATCACGGCCTCAGACTGTGAAGTCAGCAGGGAACCCGTGAAGTGTGTTAATAAATTGGCGCATTTTGCCCTGAGATCATGGTTTCATACATATTTCACGAGCGTGATGTGCAACCGTGAAACTTTCACAATTGCACTCACAGGCTATTTAAATGAGAGAGAGCATAATTTCAGGGAGAGCGTTCTTGAGAGAGAGTTGAGAGTTGTTCTTTAAACCTAGAGAGAGAACTATGAGCAAGGAAGAGTTGAAGATGAATTTTACCTACCCAAGGCATTTGGAGGGCAGATGTCATCTCCAAGTATCCATCCAATCAATTAGGAAGATGAAGAATCACTTTTCCATGGATTTTTTTCTTCCTATTCTAGTTTTTGTTTCTCTTCTAGCTATGAAATAGTTCCTCTTTTCGCTTGGATGATTTTACCCCTAATCTAGAATGTTGTAGATTGTAGTTTGTGAACTCTTTGTGATGATGAGTATTGTTATCTATATATTGATTGAGGCATTTTCATGCAAATTGAGTGTTCTTGATCAAATCCCTCAATTTTGGGGCAAATTGACATGCGAGGGAGAAAATTCCCTCAGAGCAATTCGGGTCACTCCTCAATCATCATAGAGTGCCATGAGTTGTGATTGATGACTCTCCACCGTCATAGGCTTAATCTCCGAAGGAGTGGAATTGATTGCCTTAGTCGTCTTTTGTAGTTGTGTCGTACGCCCCTTCGATTAGATCGATTAAGTGGGCTAGGATGCACTTGAATATGGGGTCCTAGCTATTTTAGATCTCCTAACGGTATATGAAATTTACCTATCGCACTAGAGTATCACATTTGTATCTCAACAAAGGACTATGGGGAATATAGTCTGAGTGAACTTTTCTCAATTGAGTTCAATATCATTTTAATTGCTTGCTTGTTTAGTTTAATAGCTTTAACAATATTTTGATTGCTAGATAATTTGTAGAGTGCTTAAGTAAGGGTAGATAGATTGTCTGGGTTGATATTTGAAATACTTATGCTATACTGGATTCGGTTATGGGTTAGAATTGGCCTATGATTGGGATTGAGTAGTTGGTACCGACTACTGAGTCAACTTTGGTGAGGATTTTTTTTTGTGGAACCTGCCTCTCTTGGGTTGGGCGGGGGTTTTGGGTTATGCAATCCGTAGATACCCAACCCAACTCGTGTTACAACTATTGTCCTAAGTTTTCGTATAAAAACATATTTATGTCACATACAAACATATTTGTGAGAGAATTTTGATATTTTTGCCATATTAGATGTATTTATTATAGACTATGGTTCAGATTGATTTTTTATATACAATTTAATAAGACTAAAAATATTATGAATGTGTTAGCATATAATGAATAATTTCTTTAGTTTATTTTAGTAAATATTTATGAAAAATACTAGACATATGTTGAAGCAAATTGCACTTCATCAAGATTCAAATAACAACTTCTATGCATTTTGATATTTTTCACTTTGGTTTATTTTCAGCTAAATTACATTTTTGGTCACTCAATTACATAAATCTTTTCACGTTGGGCACTTGAATTACTTTTCTTTCATATTCGCCACTAACTTTACGTTTCATTTCCCAGTTAGTCACCGACCGTCAGTCTCCATTAATTCCGTTAGTTTTTTGATGACATGGCAAACAGAACAACTGACTAGACCGTTAAATAATGATATGTCAATTTAAAAAAAAGGGTAAATACAATTTAATAGCCAAACCTTTCATTTTAAACAAAATAATAACCAAACCTTTTCGAAAATAATTTAATAGCCAAACCGTTAACTTTCCGTCCAGTCAACTGTTAGTTGACTCTGACGTGGCAAGTATTTGTACACGTCAGCTTATATTTTGTTTTATTATTAGTTGTACAAATGATTGAATTATATTTAAATGGAAAAGAAAAAAGAATCCTTCATCCCCCAACCACCTCATCGTCTCCTTCACCTGCTGCCTCCCCTTCTTCACCATAGCGCCACAACTTCTTCTTCTTTCGTCTCCTCTCATCATACCGGCCTCATATTTCTCCATCCCGCAACTAATTGTTGTTCATTCTCCTCCCACCAGTTCGTTCCCCTCTCTCTCCCTGGCAACCACCCATCGTCAATTTCAATTGGACCTATTTGGATTTGACTTTATACGCTTATCGATTGTATATATTAGGGATTTGTTTGCACCTGTGAGGGGATGACGTTGTTCAACCTTCTTCTATGGTTTCCCTCAAATTCAAAACCCTAATTAGAAACACAGAGTGGTAGCAGAGTGACGGAATTGAATTTGGGTATTGAATTCTTCTTTTTTGGTTTTTTTATATCGATTGCAAATGACAAAAGCAGAAGGGGGGAACACTAGCTCTTCCATTCTCGGAACAAAGCTTCTTGCATGGTGGTAGGTGAATTCATCTCGATTTCGCATCTAGGTAACCACCACTTCTTCTCCCGCCGCCGCAACTGCTTCCCGTTCATCTACGTCGGACTGGCAAGAATCCCGAGTCGCCGCCGCCATCAGAGACTTCTCCTCCACTGTCACCTTAGCCTGCTTCTCCTTTCCTATGATTGAACCCTTGGTTTTCTTCTTTTTTCGGATCGTCGAGCCAGACGAAGAGAGTAGAGGAGAGAGAACTAGGGCCGAGGTGGCGGTTCCGTTCCCGGTGGAGTCGCGTTGGAGAAGACAAGGCGGCGGACGAAAGCTTTTTGGGATTTCTGTTTTTCTTTTTCTTTTTCGTTTAGTTATAATTAAATTATTTTTACAATTACATAAATGATAAAAGTAAAATATATAAGCTGACGTGTATGTGTATCTGCCACGTCAGAGTCAACTAACAGTTGACTAGACGGAAAGTTAACGGTTTGGTTATTAAATTGTTTTTGAAAAGATTTAGCTATTATTTTGTTTTAAGTGAAAAGGTTTGGCTATTAAATTGTATTTACCAAAAAAAATAACTCGCCATTCCTTATCAGAATGAGTCGCTGGCTTCCCATCGAGATAAGGAATCTGATAGAACTTCAGATAGTTCTCGTACTCCATCAGCTCCTCCGACAGCTTCTGCACCTCCCTCGACTCCTCCTCCCCCAGCACCACCACCACCACCGGCGTCGCTTTTTAGTTCTCCGACATTGATTGCTCTGGTTCTTCTTCATTGATGGCTTCCAATTGACACTGCAGCCGTGACCGCGATTGTAATCATTCACGTTTTGGTTCAAGTTGTCGGAACCCGACCCAGAATAATTTTCCTCCCCGTCTGAAGCATTGGAAAGATAGGCCTCAATCTGGTTGAGGTTGTATCGGAACCCGACATTGTTTCCAAGTTGCAGCAGCAGACGACCATTTTTGCTCGCGATCCCGCAGTCAATCAGTGGCGAATGGCGAGAAGGAAGAAAAGGCTTAATTGCATCAGCAGATTCACAATCTCGAACTTGAAGGAAAATGAGAGGTAAAGCAATAGATTCAGAATTGGTGGGTTTTTTATTTGGTTCGATTGACAGGTTGGGAAGAGAAGGAGTTTGAAAAAGAAATACACTGATTTTCTTATTTGGTTCGATTGGCAGGTTGGGTGGAGGAGGAGAATGAAGAAGAATTGATAGGTTTTGGGTTTAGTTTGATCGACGAGCGAGAGGGGTAGAAAATTGTAGAATGGGGGGGGGGGGATGGAGGAATCGGGGTGGGGGCGAGAGGACCAGGGCAGACTGTTAATTAATTTTTTTTATATATTTTTTATATTTTTAAATTGACATGTCATTAAGTTAACAGTCCAGTCAACAGTCCCATTTGCCATGTCATCAAAAAACTGACGGAGTTAATGGAATCTTACGGAGACTAACGACTAGGGACTAACCGTGAAAAGAATCGTAAAGTTAGTGGCGAATATGAAAGAAAAGTAATTCATGTGGAAACGTGAAAGATTTATGTAATTTGAGTGACCAAAAGTCTAATTTAGCCGTTTATTTTCTACAAATTTTAATTATTTATATAATTTAGTATTGGGTTGGGTTTGTACTTAAAATATATCCTTCCTGACCCAACCTAATAATGAACAAGTTTTAGGGTTCTAATTTTTGGTTGAGTTTGGAATTAGTATTTGTAAAAACCAAAATGTATCGACCGGGTTATTAAAATGACTAAAATTAAACCAGACGACCCATGTAACACTCTTAATACTTACAATTAGATAAAAACCAAATCCGACCCAACCTACCAATTTCAAAACTTAAAAACGAATAAAACTCGTAACCAACCCAAAATTCATCAGCATTAAATTTCACTATTTTGACCGGGTTGAATTAGATTAAATATTTTCCATGAATTAGATTACTAAAAAAAGAGTTGGGCTACAAACTGGCAACCACGAGACGGACGACGCTGCTGGACCGCGCGATGATCGTTTGGGGAAAAGATGAGGATATGAAATGACAGGGGCCCACCTCCACTCTTGGACCCGGGTCCGTGGTTTCTTTCTTTCTAGCGAAGCCAAGCGATCTATCGTCTTCTTCTTCTCCTCCTCCTTCTAAACCAATATATAATCTAATCTATCCGTCATCTCCTAGCGCTGGCCGTGCGTGGTTAAAACCCGTGGCTTCGTCTCCTCTGCTATCACTTCCGAGTTCTCTGTTCCCAGATTCCCTTTTCGCTGCCCGCCCCAATCACCACTTCAATTCTTTTCTTCTGCATCTCCGACCTACTACTTCGACTGGGTAAGCTATTCTCTTGGTCTCAACTTAGATCGGTCCTTTTTTCCTCTTTCGCCGTTCCCAATTCTGATCGTGTATTGAGATTCCATTCCTACTGCCTGATTATAACCTAGCGCTACTGAATTTTCTCTTTGAATTGGTTTCAGCTGTTCGTCATGGCTTCCAACGATTCCAACAAGAATGTTCCCCCATCTGGTATTTATTCTTTTCTTGCCCTTGCACTCTTGTTCTTGCACTTGACTTCTCTTCTCCGTTTCCCTTTCTCGTTTTGGGGGCTTTGGTTTAGGGTTCTGCAAAGTGGGTTTTGTTTCCTGTGTTGACGAACATCATATTCTCTTCGATGATTATCTAGATGATGATACTATCCCTCTGCACCATTCTCCTGTTGTTCATTCATCCTGTGCGCGGTCCATTATCTCTCGAAAACCTCATACCCTCTCTTGATATGTGCAAGTTTACTTGTTGGAATAGAGCACACTGTATCTCTAGCAATAATCTGTCTGTTGAAGTATCTTAGAGCTCTTCTCTTGCACTCGAAATGCAAAGGTCCATTCCAGTCTTGCGTCCTGGTTCTCTCTCAACATGCCTCTAGTAGTGCCGTTGATAGGCAAACCAAACTCTTCCTCTGCTCATTACTGCGTTTCTTCTCATTCCCCAGAGACATTTTCTGCAGTCAATTTGTTTGCGGGCAACCATAGACGTAGCCTATGTAATACCCCAGTAATAACTATTACACCCAATCCCTGCCAGGCTTTATGTCTTCTTATGGTGTTGATGCCGTACTTAACTATATTCAAAGTTTCTGGTTGATACTGCCATCTGGGCTCTGTACTTAGTGGCTTTGGTGATATTTCTCATATTTCCTTTACCTGTTCCAATGTGTAAAACCACAGGTTCTTCAGAGAAATCTACAAAACCTGAAGCATCTTCTGCAGCATCAGAGTCAGGGCAAGGAAGAGCTTCTGCTACACCTGGAGCAGCTTTTGCTCCAAATCCTTTTGATTTCTCAGCAATGTCTGGCCTGCTTAATGTACATTTCCCTATTCCCTGCTTAACTCACGTGATGTTGTCATGCCTCAGGTTCTGTATGATGTTCTGCAATCATTAACTAAACAGCGACTCTGGTGTGTGTTTGTGTGAATGTTCCTCGAAAGTTAGGTGCTAGTGTCTCTTCTTGAATGAATGTGGAAAGTATTGTTGTGTGCTCTGTCGCATATGATTGATGGGCGGTTAATGCGAACTTGTGCTGGCTTATTGCATTTTGCTAAAGGTTATGGAAAAACAGCTAGGTATGAAGTAAAAGCTTTTTTTTTTTTTTTTTTTTTTTTTCTCTCGATTCGTAGTGCAGTAGATTTAGGTGATTATTAGGCTAATGCCTTTTGGGTACAGATTGGGAAAAAAACATGAAATGAATTCTTTCACTACTACAAATAGAAAATGAGATTGTGCATGTGGTTGTTTTGCGTTGTCTTTATTAAAATAAAAAGTGAAAACTATTACAATCAAATTCTTCTTGACGTTGTTTCTGTAATCTGATTACCAGCTTAAGAGGCTGTACCAACTGGATTACTTACGAACATATTGAACCCTTATAGTGTATATATGTTATGATTCCGTGTAGCTATGATTGCTTAGAAGATGCTGAACCTATTCACAATATGTAGCATCTTGTTGAATTCTGGAGCCACTTTATTTATCATTTTGATTGATCTTTGATCAGTTTATTTTATTTACTTATGTTATGGTTCTTTGTCACACTGGCCTTTGTGATTCATGAATGGGTTGCCTTTTTCTTTCAGTTGTCCCACTTTCATCTTCTGATTTCTTTCTCGTATCTCCTCTCATTTTCTGCTTCATTAACTTCTAAATAAACACGTGGTATATGTAGGACCCAAGCATTAAGGAACTAGCGGACCAGATAGCAAAAGATCCTTCATTTAATCAGATGGCAGAACAGCTGCAGAAAACATTCCAAGGTGCAGCTGTTGAAGAGAGTGTGCCTCAGTTTGACACACAGCAATATTACTCTACCATGCAGCAGGTTATGCAGAACCCTCAGTTTATGGCTATGGCTGAACGCCTTGGAAGCGCGTTGATGCAGGTATAATTAAAGAATAGCTGGGGTTTTGAAATTATTTTTCTTCATTTGATTCTATTAAAATTGATGGTGGTTAGATATTGAAGTTGTTTTTTTTTTTTTCCCATTTAGGATCCATCAATGTCACATATGCTTGAGCATTTGACAAATCCGGTGCAAAAAGATCAAATGGAGGAAAGAATGGCACGCATAAAGGAAGACCCTTCTTTGAAGCCCATTTTGGAAGAGATTGAGAGTGGCGGTCCGGCTGCCATGATGAGGTTGGGAATTTAAACATAAAAATCTGAGACCTCCAGTTCATTTCTTAACACTTAGGAAGGATGACTCCTATTATCCTTCCTTCTCCGTTTGGCTCAGTAGTTAAATGGAGGCGGAGGAGTTTATTCTACCCTTCATATTAGTCAATGATTGAGAAACTTGTTCATGCAGATATTGGAACGACAAAGATGTTCTGAAGAAGTTGGGTGAAGCCATGGGTGTAGCAGTTCCTCCAGAAGCAGCCACCTCAGCAGAAAACTCTGGCCTAGAGGAAGCCGAAGAAGCTGGAAATGATGACGAATCTATTGTTCATCACTGTGCCAGTGTCGGGGATGTTGAGGTAGGTGGTTACGTTTATGGTCTTTCTTCACTATTTTAACTGCTTTCTGATGTGAATCTGTGGAGAGTTATAGCTAAACATTTTATGATGTTTAGCCGTTGATTGAGAATTGGGAATCTTGCACCGTGGGTGAATGCTTGACATAATCCTTTCCCATTCATGGTTTGGAAAAAAAAAAAAAATTTATTTCTATTCGACAGATTATTGGTGTTGGAAAAACTGGAAAACAAAATCGTTTAAGAGTTGAATTAACTGAACATGTCTCAACACGAGAACGGGGTTGCTGTGAGCTATGATGTATGGTCAAGGTGATATGTGGACTGATACTTTATGCTAGTAAGAGGCAAATATGGAAGCCTAGTATTTAGCCCAACCTCTTGGCCATGGGTTGTGAATGGTACTACAGTGATTGTAGTTACTTTTTGTATTTTTCGCATGGTTTGACGGAAGAGAAACAAGGATGTCATTTGCTTGTGGTAATAAGTGACAGTGATATAGAAATAAAGTTTCTGTCTCCAGTTTCTCTAATGTTCTCGTGTTTGGTAGACATTTGAGTTATTTGAACAATTATCTTGATTTATCATAACCAATGTATTACTTAACCATACTCGATGTTTCTTTGCTTGAACTCAATTATTTTCTAAATCCAATGGAAGGATTGGGTTAGTTCAAATGTGGGAATGATAACATCTATCATACCCCAATTGTGGATCTTGGCGTCCACAATAATTTTTTTTCTCCCAATTACTCCATTCAGACCTTTACTTTGGTGCTTGTTCTTTCAATTTATTTCACTTCACAGAAGCTTACATTAGATACTCTATACCATTGCTAGGGTCTTAAAGCTGCGCTAGCCTCTGGCGCAGAGAAGGATGAAGAAGATTCTGAGGGAAGAACAGCTTTGCATTTTGCCTGTGGATATGGAGAGGTATTGTTAGAGATTGATTTCAAGAATGATACGAGGGATCTCTAACTTCTGTTCGTTTTTGGTGCACTGCAGACTGCAGTTCCTGAAATTGAGATCGAAAGTAGTGCGTTGTGATTTGTTTGTGCACTTGTTAGTTGGAATGTTAGGGTTGTTAGGTGTGTCTTGGTATTTAATTTAAAAAACATCATATCTATGAAGCAAATCTTAAATCTTTTTCCAGGTCAAGTGTGCTCAAATCCTTCTTGAAGCGGGAGCCCTGGTTGATGCACTGGATAAGAATAAGAACACGGCTCTCCATTATGCAGCTGGGTATGGGAGAAAAGAGTGTGTAGCCCTCCTACTCGAGAATGGTGCTGCAGTGTAAGTTTGAATGCGTGAACATGCTTGACAGTCTTGGGGTTTTTACGAAAACGATATGGCTGATCTTTTATTATTTGTCTTTTTATGGTGCAGAACTTTGCAGAACATGGACGGGAAGACTCCCATTGATGTTGCAAAGCTTAACAACCAGCAGGAGGTTCTCAAGTTGCTCGAGAAGGATGCCTTCCTGTGATTGTTTGGATAAGCTACTGTCACGTGTTACGTTTATGGGGGGTGCAATCAGCACATCAGTGTACCAAGATAATTCGCCACTGCCTTGTTTGACGATGCTAGATTGCTGAATGATTTTACCGTCCCTTGAGCTTATGAGTTGATTGATATGTGTTGAATTCGGGTGGCTTGGATGTCATTCTACTATGCCAATGTGTCGCCCTCTTTTAACAGTAGGAACGCATGAGTGCCGAGTTTGGTTCTGACGTTGTCGTAAACAGGTTTGAATTTTAGATTCTTTATATGATGCCTTTTACAGGCGCAATGGAGTCTGCCAGGGCTTATGACAGAATGTGACAGAAGTGTCAGGGATCCGGACATGTTTCAGCAGTACGCTCTCTGGTGTGACTCTGCACATCGATTAAACGATTTCCTGAGTTTATTATATTGAAACTCTGCTACTGCAAGTTATGCCGAACAATGTGACTCGTGTTAAAGAGTAAGGGATCCGGAAGGACCTATAGAGGATTTTTGCCCTAAAAAAACTCTCATAATACATGATTTACACAAATTTTCCGAAATACTAATGCGTGGGTTGGAGTGGATCGCTTATTCGCTTCTCATATTACGCTTTTAGTGTGCAGATCGCTGAAAAGGACGCCAGCGCTTTAATTGCTGTTGTGTCAAGCGAGCAATTCTCATCGCCTGTATAGTCCTTGATGCTAAAAGTCGTGCTTGTTCAAAGAACTACAGAGAACGGCAATGTATTGTAAATTATTTTTTTGGTAATCAAGTTGTCGTATTAAGCTCTCCCCGGTCAACTGGTCAAGACTCGAAACAAAACTCCAATTAGGAATGACAATGGGCAAGTCCGGGGTGGGCATCCCAATACACATACCCGTCCTGTGACAGGTTAAGTACAGGTCGGGTAATTTATTATGGGGCGTTGGTCAGGGTAGACCCAATGGGTACGCAATTTATATGAAAAACATAAAAATATTCAATTTTTTCATTATAAGATCAAAAAATAGATAATAATATGATAAAATATAGTTAAATTATTTGAGAAATTGAGGTTTTCACTAATTTACAACTTTATAATAGCTAAAATATGATGCAAGAAGAGGAGAATCGTAAGTAATTTGACTAAAATTACATGCAATTTAGGCAAGAACGGGCCGAGAATGAGGCGGTTCAGGGCAGGTCGGGTCGATGACAATACCCATGCTTGTCCCGTTCCGCCTAACCCGCCTCAAAACAGGTCAAACAGTTCGGGTAAAACGAATCAGGTCAAAATTGCCATCCCTAACTCCAATCATTGTAACCAATCAGCTCATATAGCTGTTAGCAACATACACATGGAGTAACAAGTTCCTCTAGCATTTCATCTTGGCTTCATCTCTATGGAGTAAAATGACTTCGTTTTCATTACTTCAGCAGGGACATGAAGGGACATATGCAAGATACAGGGGAAGAATCTAAATCCTAACTACTTAGGTAATTTTCATATCTTCAATTTTCTGGTCTCCTCTATAACATACAAACAAATCTGATCATTTAAAAATTTTCTGTTGATTCTGCAAGGGAAATTCCTTAATTTTTCTGTTTGTGTTTCTCTGGAATGGTAGGATTACTGGAGGACCTTGGTTCAGCAGAATCAGGAGCAGCTATGCATATCAGTTTTACATAACTATTGCTCAGCTATCAATGTATAACTTTGATCACCTAAAACATACTATCCATTTCCCTCTTATGTTTTACTCCACGAAAGGGTTTTGTTACTGGAAGCCTGGAAGAGGATGCTCAATCTGTTTGGATGTTTGTAGCAGATGGAAGCAAAGTGTCTCATAGTTCAATCTTATATGAAGATTCAAGAAGCTAGAAAAAGATACTATTGCTCCAGGAACTTGGAAAGCTGGATATATATATATACCTACTGTACAGTGTACGCCTGTGTTCACACCTATATATTAATTGTTAATTACTTTAATTTAATTACACTCAATTTAATTATTAATAATAAATATAATTACAATCATACTCACTCGTTAATTGCTTTATACGTTTTAGTCCCATATCAATTTTTGTCGTACATTACACTCAAATTAATTCTTTTTTTTATGGTAAATCAAAAATTTCATTAAGCTCGGGGCGATTGCCTCTCAAACAAAACATATGTTCACAAAATCAGAAACAGGTTTGATCGCAAAGCTGGAAGACAATTGGAAGGAATAAAGCGACGAAGAAGTGGCAACAGGCTAGAACACCGACCGTGACACCGTTGTGTTGCTAGACCGTCGGCTAAACAGAGCGTTTGTACAAAACTGCAAATGAAGCATAACGCGTCGGAACACGGGCTAAACACGACCGTGTGGGTGAACCGTGTTCCATTTATTTGTCCGCTTTAAGACCGTAATAAATGGGCTGAGCCAATTTTGAGAGACCAGTAATGCAACACGGGTCAGGACACGCCCGTGTTCATTGGTCGTGTTGATTGGAGCGTCGTCTTACGCTGAAGGAAGATTTGAATTGAGGCGACGTTTGAGGACAACACGGGTCAGAACACGACCGTGTTACGTGCCTGTGTTGTGCCTGATATAAGAAACTGTTAGAATTTTCTGACAACACTTTTCATAAATAATTCATCCAAACCAATTATGAAGGGCAGTGGGCGAAAAAGAGGAGTAGAGGACGAAGGAGAGAAGCCCATGGGCAATCCTTTGATGACCGGAACTCGAACTTTGCAATGAAGAAGACGACGAGATCGGGGAAACGACGGGGAAGGTTGGTGGCTTGAGGTCGTGAGAGAGGTAGAGCTCCACTCCGGCGGTTGGGCTGGGGACGATGTCGAATTAGTCACCCTTCAGGTGGGAGGAGGCACTATAGTAGGCCTCGGGCTATCCTCCAAAACGGCGGAGAGTGAGTGTGGTTCGAAGTTGGCCTCCGATGTGTGGGTCGAGAAGAGAGGGCGGAGCTCTCGGCGGTGGCGGACCTTCGGCAAAGTTGATCGTCGGGCTGTTGCTGTCTAAGGAGGAGTAAGAGGAACCAGAGGAGTGGATTGACGATGAGCTTCAGGTAGGAGACAGCGACAACAGTGTGAAGGTAAATTCCATCCCGTTTGTTTGGCACACAATGGCAGTATCTTTAAACTTGATGAATAGTGAAGGGCAATTGGATCTTTTAGTGTGCTAGGACGATTTTGGAACAATGATGAAGTTTGGGCATCAATCGGTAATTTACAATGCAAAGTATTAGTTGGTAATTAGCAAAGGTTTGGGTTTCAAATCAAAATAAGCCTTTTCGGGACTGAATTGTTAAGATTTGAAAGCGGGTAGGGACGGCTAAACAGAATTGAACAATTATGTAAATTTGGGGCCAAATTGATAAGAACTAGAAAATTCAGGTACTATTTTGTAATTTGCCATTTTGGGCAAAAATATAATTTTACAGAATTTTGTGGGGAACTTAGGGGAAATTAAAAGGAGTTTGAAATTTGAATCAATCAAATTGGAGATCGTTTGGTTAGTAACGCTAGTAGAAAGAAGTATTAAGTTTTTGTCTAAATACTTGATATGAGGAAGTGCAAAAGGATGTTAAGCACGGGGGTTTGAGCGTGAAATCTCGGACGATAACGTGAGTTAACCAGCGATAAAGAAGGGGCGTCTTTTCAAGGTGAGTGTAAAGGGGGTAAAATCTCTGCCGGGGTATTTTAGTTTATGTCTTTTAATGCAGTTATGTTTGTTATTTTCAAGTAAGCCCGATTATGTGTGTGAGGCATCCCACCGCCTACCTAAGGTGGAGGCACGCGTTGTGCTATTTATTTGAATGTGTGTTTGATGTATGGTTAATAGTAAGATGAATCCCGGGCGGTTGGGCCACTACTGGATGCGGTAGATGGTCGGGACACTTCAGGACAGCGATACGTAACTTAGTAGTCGACCAGGCATGGACTGGACGAGGGTACGTAACGCAGTACCATTGCCTTTAGGATAGAGACACCGGAAAACGATAAGTAACGCGGTGGATCCTAGTAATAAGTTATGAGTTAAGATAAAAGTAGAGAACTTCTATATGCTATTAAGGACTAAATTATTAAGGATGAAAGCGAGAACGACTTTCATGTAAGAGGAAAGTAACGGCTAATAATGCATCAGTAAGAGTTTGCTTAGGCAAGTACTTTAGGAAGTAACGACGAGATTGACCACTTCTCACTCACCAGGTTGAGAAAGGGTTAGCGGATGTGGATCACGAGAAGAGGCTGGGCGAGCGACAACACGAGCATTGGCGAGGTCTTCGAGAGCTCAGTTAAGACCCAGAGTTAGATTTACTTAAGTTGTTGCACTTTGTGATTTGAGTATGTACTGGGAATAAGGTTGAGACTTTCAATTTTGAGTTCGCCCACGTGTTTACGACATTGCATTTGATGTATTTCATTTGAAAGGATTCAATTGTGTTTGTTTAATGAAAATTTTTGAGGTTGTTTTTAATCGGCGCCGGATCCATGTGTATTTCGGTTTGTTAAAAGGATCAGGATGTTTCATTTTATCTTTGCAGGTGTTGAGAAGAGGCATAATGGGATCAACGTCTATGTTTAATAATTTGTAGTGTTTGCCTATTACCATTGAAGTGGGTACAAACAACGAGAACTTGCTGAATGATGAATTGTACATAGGACTGAAACAAAGGAGGGCTACTAGCCAGGTACCTTCCTCTCCCTTGATTAGAATTCAGGTTTGGAGTTTCGTGGAAATTGGATTAGCAAATGCCTCAGTACTTGTTCGGCATTCTGCCGCCTGTTGTTCTTGTTCGATTCCCTTTAGATGAGTCGAATTGAAGTAGCTTTGACTGATTCCCTTTAGTTGGTGTTCATTTCAATCACACTTTCAGCAAGCGCATCCTCTTCTTCCAACTTTACATACTGTAGGTGCAATGGTTTGACATAGTCAGACATGCATACTGTCGAAATCAGCCCGTGAATAGCATAAAACAGTAATAAAAAAGGAGATAGGCTTGGAGTGTTCCTTTACTCACACGGTCAATTTGATGGTTGCATCTTGGGATAGGAGAGCCGTCTGATCCTTGAATTCTTGTATGAGTTTAGCAGCCTCACAATCCATTAAGCATTTGGCATTCTTCAGAAGTTCTACTAGAGGCCAGGAAAAGAAAATTGTAAGGTTTATTAAACCTATAAAAGGATAATAATCAGAGGCAGGGATTATCCTGAATGTTCAAGGAGAAGCAGAGACCCTGGTTGCCACATGTGTGTCCCAGTAGAGGAGGAGGATCTTGAACATAAAATTTCATCTCCATCTTTGACAAAGCTGATGATTGATGTTGTTTGACATATATAACATCCTTGCCACCAACATTCAGGGAAGTGTTTGTGTGCCAAAAGTTTCAATGAAGCTGGCAAAAGTAGATAAACAAAACTTATTGGGTGTCCCATAGAGGAAGAAGACCCTTGTACAATCTGCACGACACCAGTAAAAGACAGTCAGAAATGCCTCGATCAGTGATGGATATTAAACAACTCATTCATTCAAAATAATCAGTGGATATTAAAATTTTCATTCAGTTGAATAGCAGAAGCATACCCCAAAGCACCTTCAGATCTCCGAACATAGGCGTACCATCAGAGAGGCCTCTAGCAAACCGAGGCTGAGTCTGCAACGCCATCTTCAAAGCTATGAAATAAGAGTATAGACAGTTTAGGTGGGGGAAAAGTCAAGGGAAATAACTACAGACTCCACCATCAAATTAGCTTCCTTACTACTTGACTAATAAATCAGACAGACGACTCTGTAGCAGAGGACCCAACATCTGCTTTCCGAACTAATTTTTTAGGAAAGAACTAGTATAAGCTCGCTCGCTATCGCTTCGCGTGTGAGCGAGTACGTGATATTTTAAAAATTAATATTTTGAATTTTGACTCGAAAGTAAAGAGCTTGTCATCTACAATTCCATGTAGTCGACGCAGCGATGAACTTTAATAAAGGAGAAGGGTCGTCGAGCAAATGATTTCTATGTTTAAGTTGTGAACATCGGGTTCAAGCTCTTTTGATCATATTGAATAAGTTGGATACCCATAGGTTTAGGTGTTCAAGCAAAAGGAAATAGATAAATTAAAAACACTAAAGCGGATAAAACTCGCTCCATACCAAAAACATTACACACCGAGCTCAACTCACCTTGACTGGTTCAAACCAAGTTTTTAACAATTCACACTCGGGTCAACATGCCAATTCTAAAAGCATATAAAACGCACTCTCGATACAAAACTCGTTAGCTCCGGGTGTGGGTTCAATTGTCATTCTCAGCCAAAAGGAAAAGGAGAAATAAAAACTTGTTAATCCCGCTTATAGTATAAATTGGACTTGGTACTAATAGTTCGTACTCATGCACGTTTTGTCATTATGACACAATTAAGCAGTTTATGTGATTATATGACTAAACCAATCAATGAATCACATGTCCACCAACATTACAAGACATTTGGAGCATGAATTCCCCTTATTGTACAATTTGGACTCGGTACTAGGAGTTCGTACTCGTGCACGTTTTGTCATTACGACACAATTAAGCAGTTTATGTTGTTATATTACTAAACAATCAATGAATCACATGTCCATTAGTGATGACAATGGGGCTGGGCGGGTACCTCAATACCCATGCCCCGTCCCACGCTACTACGGTCGGGGCGGATGAAACTCGCACGGATACAGGGAGGGGCGTGTCGAACCACTCTTACATGTTATTTGAAACAAAACACACACGCAAATTTTACTTTTTATGATAAAACAAAATGGAAAATAATTTATGAATGAAAAATAGTGATAATAGAATGGGTAATTGAGTCTAACCAGTTGAAAGATCGATTATAACTAGTTGAAGAATAGTCAAAATAGTCAAAATATGTATAGGTATTGTAAGAAATTGAGGTAGAATGCGCCAAAAACAGTGCGGGGAAGGGCATGTCGGAAGTAGATACCCATGTCCCGCCACACGATACTGCGAGTCGGGTAATACCCGCCCATCACGGATCAGGTCAGATAATACACACAGAGCAGGTTCAAATTGCCATCACCTCCTGAAACCATGCTTTCAGTTAGGGCTGGAGGTTCGGTTATCGGTTGCCGGTTAACTGGCTGGTTAAACCGATAATCGGCGGTTACCGATCAACCGACTAACCGAAATTAAATGGCGCGGACGGTGTTCGGTAGAGGTGTTGGTGAGGCTGGTTAACCGGCTAACCAACCTTCATAACCGCGGTTAAACCGACTAACCGGCTCATAAATAACCTCCTAAAAACGACGTCGGATTCCACGTTTCACACCCTAACCCTAACGGCCAAACCTAATCGATCCGACAACCATTCCACTCCACCCCTTGTCCCCTTCCTCTTCCTCTGCATCGCGACGAGACGGCGAGAGTCGAGACCCCTAACTCTCCCTGCCGCCGCCGCCTCCCTGACTGCGCCTGCCCGACGGTGACGCCGCCGCCATCTCCCTCCCCGACGCCAGCCGCTTTCTGGCCTCCGCCATCGCCCTCAACGACGCCGCGCTCTCCGACATCCCCCTGCCGCCGCCTGCCCCTGACTCTCCTACCGCCTGCCGATTGTAAAATGAAAAAGGAAGAAGAAAAATAGGGTTCGTGGAGTTTGGGAAAAGCAGATGAAGAGAACGAGAGGAAAGGGAAGATAGATCTTTGATCTGTTCTTTTGTCCTCGCTTTCTTTGTTTTCAAAGCTGGGCCCAAACACTAGCAAAAGCCCACAGCTAAAGCAAAATAAAAAGAAGACAAATAAACATTTAACCGACCGATTAACCGAGCAACTAACCGGTCGGTTGCCGGCAAACCGATGGTTTCCGTTGGGCGGTTGACGGTAGTCGATAGTAGCGTCGCGATTAACCGGTAACCGATATTTCGGTTATCGGTTATAACCGATCTAACCGAAAATCTAGCGCTACTATCAGTGTAGTAGATTCACTAAACCATGTTGTCTAAAAGCATCAACATAAAAGATATTCAACTGAATTGTCAATTTATAAATTTATTTTCTGAAAATTCAAAAGGGTAATACTTTCTTGAAAGATTACATATAATATTAATGTCGATGCCATATTAACATTTAAAAAAAGAAACCATCAACTTGAAAGTAATAAAACAAAATTCAGTTTTATAAGATAAATTTTTATTTCAATCACACACTAATTGCTAGCAATCAGTTCAGAATTCAATAATTGGTCACAAAAGAAAATAAAGGCAAAAACAAAAATAAATATGAAACAGGTCACAACACTGTTTTAGTTGTCTCTAACATTTTGATCCGTATACCTCTGAATCAGAATGTAGAGGTAACACCACTATGGCAATTATGCTTTCTGTGCTTCAGTTTTTCCAATATGTTTTATTATAAATTATTTAGAAACTTCCGGGAGATCAACAAGTCCACTACTCCATAGGGATGACAACTTTGCCCATACCCATGGGTTTCTTACTATCCAACCCAAGATTGGGTATGAAATCCAAATAGATGGATATGGGTAAAGTTTGATGGGTTTGTACCCATACCCATTTACTTTGGGTTGAGTTGGGTTTATATCAAATGGATTTGGGTTTGTACCCATGTCCAAATACAAATTACAGTTTGGTACCCAAACTTAATAGACATGCATATTTAGTACCTAAATTTAATTTTTTTTGCATCTAAGTCCTCAAAATATCAATGGAAAATTACATTTTGGTACCTAAATTTTTTTGGTCTTACATTTTCGTACCTAAACTTCTCAAGTTTTGCAAATAGGTCCAATTTTTGCATATGTAGTTAAAACACCCTCAAGTAAGTGGATATCCATATCCAGCCCATACCCATTTAGATTATGGAAGCCCCAAACCCAAACCCATCTATAAACAATCCATATGCACTTCACCCATACCCAACCCATTATCAATGGGTCTACTTGGGTTTGGGTATAATTACCCATGGGTGGGTAATTTGCCATCCCTACTACTCCACTATCTTCGCGGCTTCGCCCCTATTCCCAGAAACCGAGAAATCTAACACGATTGGCCTAAGTACTCCTTCCCTATAATTGAATCGACAAATTTATTCTTCACCGGCGAGGTTTGGAAAGGCCGACGACGATTAGGAGAGGATTTCGAGTCGGAGATCTAGAGGGGAAGGAGGGAAAATTCCCAAAATATTGTTTTATTTTTTTTATTTACCACCAATATGGAGGTTTTAAATATATTTACACAGATATTGTGTTTTTGTGGGGAAAGAGATGCGGGCTCGCAGGAGACTCAATTTTACTAGTTTGAAATGCGGATCCGAAATGGACTTGGGCTGACCCGCGTGGGACTGGTGCGACTCGCGTGGGACTGGTGCGGAAACGCATGGACTTAGCGGACCCGCATTAGTCTCATGCGGATTCGGCCTGTGTTTTACCCACTCCAGCATATATATTTTCTCCTCCATTCTCCTCCTTTCAGTATCACCACCCCAAAAACTTCTACGAAAACGAAAGGGAGGAGCTCTGCTGGTTGCTGCAAAGATGGCTAGGTAAGAGACATTTATTTTTGTAATTATATTATTAAAATGCTATTATAATTTTTTTAGTTAGTAATTAGTGCATTTGTTTGTTATGTAGTGATTTTAGGAAATTTGAATTAATTGTTTGGTGGAAATCGGAGAAAGTAGACGACAATTTCGGCGTTCATTTCGTTGGTGGTAGAATGTTTCAGTTGACAGTTCCATGTCGGGTGACATATCATCAATTTTGTGAGAATCTAATCCCGAGAATACGACGTAGAGACGAAGCAGTACAAGATAGTGATATGATCACAGGTTTCACTTACCGTCTTCCAGAATGGTGTTCTATTTCATTATGTGATGCCTATTGTGGATGATGATGGTTTGAATGTGCTTTTCGATTTTATGGCACAAAATCCTTATTGTTTGGGTGCTGAGGTACATGCTGAGATTAGCCAGGCTGATCAGGGTGAAGATGATACATGGAGTGTGCCATCTGTCCATGATTACGAGGACGACGACGACAAGGAGGAGGATGAGGAGGAGGAGGAAGATGGGGAAGAAGAGAAGCCTAACTTTCCTCCATATTTTTACTTGCAGGCTAATGAAGAGGATGATGAATTATCATATGTTGATTCATATGGGATAATTCCAATGCCTATCGTTACTGGTTTTGAAGAGGAATTCTACAAAGGCCAGATATTTCACTCGAAACAAGCTGCACAGGTGGCGGTTAAACACCACACACTACAACGCAACTTTCAGTATGGCGTGGTGGAGTCGTCACCTTCAATCTGGAAGGTTAGATGCTTGAAGCATAAGGATGAAAATTGTCCTTGGATGGTGCGGTTTGGATGTCGAAACGTTGGAAGCGAATGGACTGTGAGGAAGGCCGAGTTGGTGCATTCTTGTAGCAATACAACTCAACCGAAAGATCATCGCCATCTTGATGTCGACGTTATATCTGACTCCGTGAAACATTTGGTACGTGCCCAACCTAATATGAGTGTTCTAACTATGCAAGCCGAGATGAAAGATAAATTTAATATGCAAGTTACTTATTAGAAGGCTTGGTATGGGAAACAAAGAGCATTGGAGAAGTTGCATGGAAATTGGGAAGAATCCTATGATTATTTGCAAACATTCTTGCGGGTGGTAAAGAGAAAAATGCCAACATCAGTTATTGATTGGGTAAGAGTTCCTTCAGATCAACCAGGTCATTCGATCTTTCAGCGAGTATTCTGGGTTTAAGGACCTTGTATAGATGGATTCAAGAATTGTCCAAGAGTCATGGTTGTTGATGGAACTTTTCTTACTGGAAAGTATAAAGGAGTGCTACTCATGGCGAGCTCATTTGATGGCCGGAAGAAGATTTTTCCAATAGCATTTGCCATTGTGGAGAGCGAGAATACTGAAAGTTGGCCATGGTTTATAAATCGCTTTCAAGGTTTGACCGATCGAAATGACGTATGCATCATCTCATATAGACATGTGGGACTCTATGAAGCCATGGGTGACATCGGAAGAGGTTGGGAGTGGAGGTGGTGCATGCGACACTATGCAAGCAACTTGAAAAAAAAGACAAAAAACAAAATTATGTATAACCAACTGGTTCGAGTCGGTAAGTCTCTTCATCGTTATTGATTGACACTCCAACATCTTATTTATTTTAATTTAATATTATCATGAATTTATCTAACTCTTGTGGTTATTTATTTTGTTAGCCTGAGAAAAACGCTTGGAGAAGTTCGATCGTCAAGTTGAGCAATTTAAGAAGATGGCCACTGAAAGAAATATTTCTTGTGATAACTGGGTGGATCAAAATCAAATTCGTTGGAGCTTAGCACATGATAACTATAATGGTGGGACTTGATGGTCTATGATGACGACCAACATGGCAGAGAGCATCAATGGTGTTTTCAAAGGTATTCGTTCACTTCCTATAGCTTCTCTTGTGCAACATACTTATTGGCGATTATTGGAGAAATTCGATAAGATGAGGTTGGAGACAGGAGCACAAATCAGAAGTGGACCTTCATAGTACACCATCAAGTGCGAAGAGAAGATGAAGACACTCACAGTGCATTTCGATGACCACAATCGAGCGGGATTTTGCACTTGTGGGAAATTCCAAGGAAATAAAATTCCTTGCTCTCATCCATTGCAGCTTGAAACCAAATGGGGGCTAACCCGTATAGGTTTGTAAATGACATCTATAAGCTGGAAACAGTGTTGGCTTGTTATGGGACAAGTTTCACACCTCTTGGTGAACCTAAGGGGTGGAAGAAGCACAATGATTCTACTCTCCATCCTAACGTGCAAATGATTAGGAAACCGGGGAGGCCACGAACAACAAGAATTCACAACGAGATGGATTGGCCAAGAGAGGAACTAGGTGGACATGATGCATCAACTTCTGGTGGAGGAGCAAGTGGAAGTGAGAGCCAATGAAGAGGAAGTGGTAGACGTGCGAGAGGTGGTAGAAGAGGAAGTAGTGGTAATAGACGTGGTATGTAATTGTTTGATGTTGTTATGGTTTGAACGTGCGAGTGTGTAATTGTTTGATGTTTGTTATTGTTTTTCGACGTATATGTAATGGATTGATCGATGTTGTTATGGTTTGAACGATCGAGTGTGTAAATAGTCCACCATAATACATAATAATCATACATGACATGAAATAAATAGTCCTCCATCATACATAATAATCCTACATGACATGAAATAAATAGTCCACCATCATACATAATAATCCTACATGACATGAAATAAATAGTCCACCATCATACATAATAATACTAACGACCTCCACCACGACGACCACCACCAAGAGGATCCACAAGATGACCGCCAGTACCACACAACGGTGCATGTCTGTCCCGTACTGGCCTGCCCTGATCGTGCTGAGACTGATCTCCGTCATCCTGATCCTGTGTACCGAACAAACCTTCTATCTGAGACTGGGGATGCTCGTCTGGTGCATCTATCTGAGACTGAGGATGCCAAATATGGTCCAAAAAATTATCGTCCCCCTCTATGGTGTCTCTCCATCTATAGGGTGAGGATGCTCTCGGTGATGCTGCTTTGGGTGAGGATGTGTATCCGCCACCCATCATAACATGCTGCGGCGGTGTATGAAAGCTATCGAGTGGTGGCTGAAATCCCAAAGGCTGAAACTGCGTCTGGGAGGGCTGAGACTGGTGCTTGGAGGGCTGAAACTGCGTCTGAGTAGGCTGAAACTGGGTCTGAGAAGGCTGAAACCCATAAGAACACTCCCCATGAAACTGCGTCTGGGAGGGCTGAAACTGGTGATGTGAGGGCTGAAATCCCGCCGAAGAGGAGGGTTGAAACTGCCGCATGAAGTCGAAGGTAGTAGTAGGCCGGACAAGACGTGCTCGCTGACGATCTGAAATCCCGACTGGGTGAGGTACGTCGCGGTGCTCACGTCGCTGTCTACGCCTCCTGGGCTCCTCTGTGAGCTATGGTCCTCGCACGTCCCACTCATGTCTCTCAGCAGTACGATTTGGCCATGGGTCAACGCTATGATCAGATGACTGTGGCTGCACCGGTACCATCATATCATGATGTCGGCGAGAATCCAAACCTAGAGCAGCAACCCCGGCCACCATCATGTCGGCCAATTCTATCCTATCGTCTGTGGACAACTTTCCTTCCCGTAATCTCAGCTCAGCGTACTCAAAAGTATCATACTGCAAATTTATTTAATATATCAAATATTCCACACAACTAAGAATTTCAATCCACTAAAATTTTATTTTGAAATAATAATTTACTAACCGCTGCGTTAATTCCTGCTGCTCTCCGTGTGACTGCACGTCTAGTAACATCTCGATACCACTCGAGATGCTCCGAGTGGTAGGCTAGAGTCTCCTGAGTATATGGCCTATTTGCTATATACTCATGTCGACGACTCCACAAATCAATCGACTCTCTGGAGGCGTGGATCAATCGCTGCCCTCACGATGGCCCACGAGCTGTCTGGCGAAGAAACCACCTAATCTCAGCCTCAGGAGCTGGATGATGAGGCTCGTTCTGCATCATGCCAAACTGTCGGAGTACCCGATCTGGATGGTGCCACATCACTACTGAAAAGCAGATCAGTGGAACCACTGCTCGGAAGGTATCTGACTGGGGAACGGAACCCCTAAACTGCAGGTCTCTCTCCCAGTAAGGCAGCCACTACATAGAAAGGTGGGCACATTATTACAACTTAGTCTAAAACAAACTAATGTGAACCAAAAACTATTCTTGTATGAAATGTTATTACTAACCACGATCGTCTCTAGCTGGTCAAAAAACAACTTATAACTGAAGAGCTAGTCACCATGCTGACGGGTCATGGTCGGAAGCCATCGAGCACCATGTGGATCTGTCACTGTATGTCGGGGTGCTATCAATGGGGATCGCTCCCACGCCCAGAGTTGCAGCAAGGCGACCCAGCCACGAAGGTTACCTCCGGTGTAAGAGGACTGCGTCATATGCAGAATCGACCTACCCATCTCACGGTACAGGTAGGCTAGAACAGCTGCTCCCAAAGCGTAGCCTCCTACGGTCCGCCAATTCTCCAACAGGAGTACATACTGCAGGTGAACTATAGCTCCAGTCCGATCGGGGAACAACATAAACCCAATCAAAGATAGGGCATGCGCTCGTGCAAACTGCCCTGTAATCTCTGCTGATCCATTTGGCGGCAGATTGTTGAAATGCTCCCTAAGCCAACTAAGCCTAACGACACCCCTGCTAAGATCGTTAGGAGCATGTCCTAACAGTCTGGTACACGTCTCCGACCACTCACGATCTGGTACGTCTACTATGACGGTCTCACCGTCGATCGGTAAACCGCTCAGTGTGGCAACGTCCTCAAGAGTGATCGTAACCTCACCGACCGGCATGTGAAATGTCGATGTCTCAGGACGCCAACGCTCTACTAGAGCGGTGATCAAAGATGCATCTATACAACCAGTCATAGGGACCAACTGCTGAACGCTAAACAAACCGGCATCCTGGAGATACGACTCATAACGTGGATGGTACGTGACCAATTTGGTCGTACCTCGAGTCTGGTAAACACGATCACCAGCCTATAGTGCACAAAACTTATATTAATTCAATTTCATGGCGTAATTCAATTTTCAGAACATATTGTAAAATCTATCTAATTTACTAATAATATATGTAATGAAAACTAATACTAATTTCACATGAAATTATAATATTTCAATTTACCTAGTAAAATCAATCTAATTTAGTAAAATATATCTAATCAAACTAATACTAATTTCACAAAATTCTAATCTAACTAGCTAATGAACTTTAATGAAATAAAATACATAAAATACTTACCTCGTTAATCCAAACTGAGTCGACACGATGTTGACCATGTGCCCAAAGGAGTACTGAATCGACCGGAGGTATCTATCGTCGCAGGTGGTCGTCTCGTGGAATGCCTGTCAAGAATCATAGGAACTGCAAAAAAAAAAAAAAGTTGAAAAGAAAAACCCGCCGGCAGCGAGTTTCCGGTCGCCGATGACGACATTCCGGTGGCCGGCGACGACTTTCCTACTGATGTATCGCTCACCTCGGTACCGACCGCGTGCTTGTTGTCCTCTTCCACAGCCTCTTCCTCTGGCGGCCGCCTGTTCTTCATCGGAGTCCGACATCAAAACCAGAAAAACCCAGATCTGGTTTTGTTCGACCGCTCTTCACTCCTGCGCTTCCGCGTGACTCTCGATCGTTTCCGCACGAGTCCGAGACGAGCCCGCGTTGGATTGTTCAATTTTGTGGCGGTCGGCAATGGGTTGGGCGATGGTGGGTTTCTGGCGAGAGGAGGGGGTGCGTCGCTGCGGACGAAGGGGCGGGGTGGAGAAGAAGATAAGAGGTATCTTCTTTTATGCGAACCCGCGTGAGTCTGCAGCGGTTCTTCTTCTCTTATGCGAACTCGCATGAGTCTGCTGCGGGTCCACATAAGTCCACTTTGGATCCGCTTTTAAATGAGTCTCCTGCGAGCACACGTCTGTTTGCCCACAAAAACACAATATCTGTGTCATTATATTTAAAACCACCATATTGGTGGTAAATAAAAAAAAATTATTTTGGGAATTAACCCGGGGAAGGATGCGTCGGGAAAGAGATCTGCAAGGGAAGAGCGGAGCTCAATGATATCATCGTCGGGTCCCAGACACCGCTAGATTCTTGCTATCAATCGACGACCTTGGATTGAGTCCAACGCGGAGTGTCGACTTCGCTCTTGAGCGGAGCTGGAGTCGCCGTCGGAATCTCCTATCGTTCCCCTAAATTCAACGACCAGTTTCTATCTTCTTTCAATTTTCAAACTAATATGAAACATCCAGACCCTAAACTGAAGTAAAAGACAGATATGTTGGGACTCGCCTAAATTGATTCCTTGTCCCACCAGCCGTTGTTATTCTTCCTTGTCCCACTGGCCGGGGCGTTGATTCTTCCTTGTCCCACCGGCCGATGTTGATTCTCATTAGAAGTTAGATAGGTGAATTTCATTCTTCGTCATGGTCACAAAACGACAAAACGGAAATTGAGTTAGTAATTTTCGAAAGAAATTGCACTTGTAGATCATTGTAACGTTTGGGTGTCTCAAAGTTATAATTTTGAAAAAACAGTACTATAATTTATATGACCGTTAGTTAAATGATTGATTTGAGTAGAATGTATGATAAAAATTGATACGTGACTAAAACGTAAACAACTATTAATGAATGTATATAATTATAATTATATTTATGAATATTAATTAACTTAATTAAAAATAATTAATAATTAATTTTTAGTTGTGAACACAGGCATACACTAGGTGTACACTAGTTTTGGTCATATGTATAGTGTATATATTAGGAGTCCAGATTACTTTGCCTTCTATGTTTTTCACCTCTACTCCTTCACAATTTTATTAATGGGCCAAATGGCAATATCGTTTGACAAAACTCCCACAAGAAAGGGTGGAGAAATACCTATCCAGCCATTACAATCAATAGTAGCACTAGGAAAGTGAGCTAGCTGATGAGCCGCCATATTAGCTTCCTGGTACGTGTGACGCTACCCTCTACAATCTGCTGGTTTGCCTCTTCCCTGATCTGTTGGCAAATCGTTGCCATCTCTGTGTAATCACTGGTCTGGTTCTGCAGTCTAGTAACAAGTATTTGACAATCAGATTCAATAACATTGGTTCGTAATCTCGACTCCTTCATTTTCGCTACAGCAAACAGAACTGCCCTGCCTTCCGCAACTTGTGGAGACCATTTTTCATTTTCGCGCATGGCCGCAACAAAGGAGACCTGCCCTTCCCAGTCACGGACAATCATTCCTATCCCTGTCCCTGCTTCCCCCAAACAACCAACATCAGTGTTAACCTTCAGTAAACCCATGCCTGGTGGTTGCCATCAGCGATTTTGTCTTATTCGTTCCCTTCCCCCCTGCACTTTCTCTTGTTCAAGCTTGTACTCCATAAAGAAATTCTATGCCTTTTGGGCGATCACTGCTTCATCCAACCTCTCTCCATTAAGCTGGCGGTTGTTTCGCTCATTCCATAGCAGCCACAGTAAGGAGCTTATCCCTCCAGCCGTATCTGGGTTTGCTGTGGTAATGACATGATTTAGCCACTTCTCCATGGATTCCCCATCTGCATAATTATATCGATCACACCAAAGAGAACTCTGCCACATACGAAGCGACCATTGACATTCCAGAAACCTATGGTGGATAGTTTCCTCCATTCCACAGTAAGGACAGTCCTTGACCAACCTATCCTCCATTTTTTTTGCCAAGTTCACATTAGTAGGAAGGATGTTATGCATGATTCGGCAAAGAAAGATTCGTATCTTAGGAGGGCAGTTCGTCTGCCACAAAATTTTCCAGTTCACCTCATCTGCCTCCCCTGCTCCATCCTCTACCTCATCAGGTTCAGGCTCCTCCGGGGGTTCCTTTATTGCCATTTTATATAATGTCATAACATTGTAGCAGCCATTCGCAGTTTCTTCTCAGCAAGCCGAGTCTCTTGTTGGGGTTCTGGGTATTTGTATAGCCCAGATAACATTTCTTTCTTCAGAGGAGAACAACAGTTGCAATACATCATTCCGCCATGCCTTGGTTTCATAGTCGATCAGCTCAGCAACAATCTCAAATCCCATTTTCCCTTGAGAGCCTACTATCGATTTCTTTTTAGTCAAAGTTTGTATCCATTTATCCTCCGAAATCTTGATCGAGGTAACATCTCCCACTCTGCATCTGCTGCCTTTCACAATCACATCTTGAAAGAATACTCCGCTAGGTATAAATTGGTCAGTAACCACTTGCCTCCTCCATCAAGGAGCAGTTCGAATAGTACTTTGCCTTCAGGATTCTTGCAATCAAGGAGTCAGGATTTTGGAGTAATAGCCAGAATTGCTTTGCTAGCATAGCCTTGTTAAAGGCCTTAAGCATAGCCTTGTTTAGTATGAGAGATCGAGCTTAACCATAAAACATACTCATACCTTCAAGGGTGGAAGTTTGGGTAATGATGCAAAGGAGGTGGGTATTCATAGGGCTTGCATGTTGGGGAGTGGATCGATTGTATGCACGATTAACGTGAGTCGCTGATCTGTGAGATGAACGATTGTATTCTTCTCTATTTAGCAATCTACGTCGATTGATGGATTTACCGAGTTGATTTAAGACTCATGCCACTACAATAAGCGAACCATATCTCACTGTGTTTTGAATGCATGTGAGATTTTATGTCCCCAGGTGCGATTGCGTGTAGAACCAATGTTGAAGCAATCTACCAAGTGTCATGCGTAATGAGTGGTATCCTGCTATTCAATATTCACCCTGGTATGGTTAGTAGTATTTTAATCGTATTAGGTTTCTTATTAAGGATTTTTAGTCTTTCCTCTAAATATGCACGTTAGGTTTCATTTATGAGAAAATTAAGAAGAATATTATGAAAATCTTCTAACCTTAGTATATCCTGATCCCGGGTAAAATACCTCGGGTACCACTAAAGTTTGAGAATTAGAGTAGACATACCATTTAAGTTTGAATATGGCGCCGGGGTACCATTAAGTCGTCAAAAGGTGCGTCCGTCTTGTTTTCCATCCAACCCAAAATTTTAATTACCTTTTGGTACCCAATTTTTTTAAAAACATCTAAAACTATATTTCAAAAAGTATTATCTAATATGAAAATTAGAAACCTTCTACATATAGCATTACTAGGATAACTAATTTTTCAATAAAATATATAAATTAGTAAAAATAATAAATATACTAGAAGATAATAATACATATTTAAAATAAATATTAAAAGATATATTTAAACCCCTAATCTAATTAGAAGCACCACTAAAAATAATTAAAATAGAACTTAATCGACCATAAATACATCAAAACCAAAGAAAGATAAATGGAACACTATCATCTCTCACAATTCAGGTTGCCGACCATTCTATTTCTTCTTCTCTAGTTCTTCTCAAATCCCCAATTCTATCCCCTTTCTACCTAAATCCCTAAATATCAATCAATCTCAATACCAGAATCCAATGAGTAGAACCCTAATAAATGAGTTTCTATCATTGCGGTGTGATTGCCAACGAGGTATCCAACAAATTTGTGTTGCCCATCATAGCTCCATCAACTGCATTGCGAAGACCTGAAAGAGGGTGGGAGAATGGCAACACTAGGAAAGTGGTGGCTAAGGCAGAGGGAAAGCTAGAAGATCCAAAGTTGCAATGAGTTGTAATTCTGAACGGTGAGATAGGAATTAACGGTAAAGCACATATAAAGTGTGTTGTGCATGATGTAGGAAAACAACGTTATTGCGTCCCTTCCAAAAGACCCAGTAGAGGAGGCTCCAACTTGTGATGGTTGGAAGCCCAACAATGTTGAACAAACATCGGCAAAGGAAAGAAATTGTTGGGTCGTGTGGTTGAGCGGTATTGGACTTTGAGGCCCAGCAAGGAAAGTAAGCCCGACCTAGTAGGGAGACCGAGTTTAGGTGGACAGTTCCTGATAGTTAGGCAGTCGTCTCGGGACACGATAGGAACCGAGCCGCCTAATATAGAGCACTGATGGTGACATGAGGATAAAGATCCGGAGATACGCTTACCTTAGTATAAGCTGGACTGAGCATTAATTACCCACTGTAGGCGGTCTATTACGGGAAAGTACATACTTAGGGCGCCAAACATAGCATTTAATTCCCAAATCATCACCTATCAATGTATAAATACCCCGTGTGTGCATTGATGGTAACTCAACTAGTTTCTCCCTCTCTAAACCTAATTTATATTCTCACTTCTCTCTCTAACTTAATCTTCGGAGAGTGTCCAGGGCACCACCCACGAACCCTTGTTTTGTAGGGTTCAGAAGTACGCCCTCACCAAGAACGGTCGCCTCGCTCGTGTTCTGCACAACTGCCTCGTACTTTCGAGGCTCAAACAATTTGGTGCCCACCGTGGGGCACAGAGTGAAGCACTGAAGAATGGTGGACGGGAGCTCCAAAACCCCAGTCAAAGGCGTGATAGAGAGAGAGGGCATCCGTGGATTAGAAATGCCAAGTGTGGAAGAGGAGATGGAAATAGAAGACCACGTGAAGGATCAAGGGCAGAAGATCTCCGGCATACGGGAAAGGTTAAATTAAATCCTCACCATGCTCAAAACAAAAGACGTACTAGAAAGTTCAAAGAAGCAAAAGTGAAGAGGCAAGGAAGTAAGAGACGAAGCTCTCGACAACCCTGCTCAGACAGAAGGCGGGGCACCCAAAGAAGAAGAGGGCGCAGTGGAACTGAACCTAAACTTCTTGGAGGAACATCTTAGGCCATCCTACGGAAGAAACAAGAGCCACAACATACAAACAAACCCGCTGGTGAAGAGCTTATTGAAAACACAAGCGCCCTCTAACTTTTCATCGTTGGGTCTGCCAGCCTACAGTGGAAACTCCGATCCGACGGATCATTTGAGTGCCTTCATGCTCAAAATGCAGCTTATCAACGTTTCAGATGCAGATTTGTGTAAGGCGTTCCCCGTCACGTTCAGCAATCAATGCAGAACCTTGTACGCCTCCCTTCATGAAGGAATAATCGAAAGCTTCGAGTAGTTTGCCACACTTTTCTCATTAGATTTCGCGTCCTAGAGGAAAAGGAAGCTCACGTTCCCAGCACTCATCAATTGCAGACAAGGGATGGATGGGTTGCTGATAGATTTTTACGATAGATAGAACACGATAACCAACGAAGTGCAGGGAATCTCACCAAGCGTAGCTATAGGCAACTTGCAATTGTCAACACACAACCGAGAGCTAAAAAGAGCACTCATCAAGAAAGAGCACATCCTAGGGTCCTGGCCGGACCTCAACCGCCTTGTAAGAAAGGGTATTGTACTAGAAGAGGAGCTAAACAAGGAAGAGGGCGGGAAGCCCAATAATTCCATAGGAGAAAAGGAGATAAGAGAAGAGTTGGGTCGCCGAAAAGAGGAGGCCACACCGCGGATAGAAGGAACTATAAGCCTCGGTTTACAAACCGAGATAATAGGCGTGAGGTGTTTGTCGTGGACAAGGAGGAAGGTAGCCGCCGAGAAAGGGGCAATACAAGAGAAGCACATCAGTCCCAGGCCGAAAGTGGTGTGACTGGCACTAGTTGGCACCAATAGAGGGGAAGCTGACAAACGAGAAAGGTCGCAAAACCCAAGAAGGAGGTATCGAATGGCCAGACGTGCGAGATCAAGGACACCAAGAATAGAGTGCTCTCCCAGGTGAGAACATTTTCCACCACCACCGAGACACACTCCCCCTCGACGGCAGCCCCGCATAAATGAAGACGTCGTAGAGGTCATAACCATAACAGGAGGACATAAGTGGCCTCGAACAAAGGGAGACCGCCCAGTGCAGTGCCTCAACATTCAGAAGAGTGAGCAGGTCGAGATAAGCTTCTCTCCCTCCGAGATAACACCAGAAGAGTGCAGGGAAGACCCGCTGGTTATTGCCTTTCGAACAAAGAAATTCAAAGTCACCAGAGCATTGGTAGACAATGGAAGTTCGACACACATCTTGTTCTACTCTACCCTGAAAACATGAAAAAGAGTGTATAAGATCTCAAGCCCTCGGCGACTAGCTTGGTGGGTTTCTCATGGTCAAAGGTCCAAGTGATAAGGTCTATCACTTTGCAGGTTACGATAGGAGAAGCATGAGCTACAAAAACACACCTCGTGGAATTCCACGTGGCTACTGCCCTTCGGCCTACAACGCAATTCTGGGACGCGGTTTCTTGTCAAATTTCTCGGCGGTCCCTTTCACCTGCCACTAGCTACTAAAGTTTCCTGTTGGGGGGAAGATCATACGCGTTCGGGAAACACTCGACAAGAAAAGGAGTTCTATCAGGAAACCATCAAAAGCTTGGAAGTCGGCGTGGTTGACAGAAGGGGAAGCCATCCCCGACCTGAAGCGGTCTAAGAAGATACGGCTGTCGTCCTCAGTGAAGCGGAGCCCAAAAAGAAAGTCAGAATATCATTTCACATCCCAGAAGAAAGAGCGTGGAAGCTCATGTCACTCCTCGGAGAGTATAAAGATCGGTTTTCTTGGACCTCAGAAGATTTGTCAAGCGTCTCAAAGAAACTGGCCAAAAACCACCTGTCAATCAGAAGTAAAGCGAGGTCGGTACAACAGAAAAGAAGAAACACCTAGAAAAACAAATGACACTAGAAGAAGAGGTAAAGCGGTTGCTGAAAGCCGGTTCATTAGGGAAGTCAAATAACCAACTTGGCTGGCTAACCTAGTCTTTGTTCGCAAAGCATCGGGATTGTGAAGAATGTGCATCGACTTCACAAGCCTCAATGCGTCCTGTCCAAAGAACGCATATCCTCTACCTAAGATCGACCAGCTGATCGATGCAAACGCTACTAACGAAACTCTTTGTTTTCTCGACATGTTCTCTGGGTATCATCAAATCCGGCTGTCCGAGGAAGACCAAGATTAAATTGCGTTCATGACGCAGATGGGAAACTTCTGCTCCACGGTCATGCCGTTTGGTCTGAAGAATGCCTGAGCAACTTATCAAAGAATGACAGACGCAGTTTGCAAGGACCAATTGGGAAGGAACATGGAAGCGTATGTAGATGACGTACTTGTTAAGAGCAAGAAGGGAGATGATCACTTGAAGGACCTGAAGGAGACGTTCGACAGCCTAAGGAGGGAGCGCCTTAGGCTAAATCCACTCAAATGTGTATTCGGATCAAAGGAAGGAAAGTTCCTAGGTTTTTTGATCATCAGCAAAGATATTGAAGTAAATCCAAGAAGATAGATGCTATACATAGCCTAAACCGCCAAAGAAGGTGAAGGAAATTCAGGAGTTCAACAAAAAAATGACGACCTTAAGCCGCTTTATCCCACGGGCAGCAGACAAATGCTCACCATTCTTTCAAATGTTGAAGAAGTTGGGATCGCGACTCAAGTGGGGTGCTGAGTGCGACCAAGTCTTTTTTCAGTAACAGAGCAGCTAGCATCACCCCCAGTCCTGAGCACTCCGCTTCATGGAGAACCGATGTATCTTTACATAGTGGTCTCCGATCAAGCAGTTAGCTCAGTCTCAGTGCGAAGGTCAGAAGACAACTCGGACCATCCTATCTACTATGTAAGTAAGGCGCTGCTCCCCGTATAAAAGCATTACATGACCATCGAAAAAGTGGTCCTAGCCGTTGTCTTGGCTTCGAGGAAATTGAGATCGTATTTCCAGGGTGGTAGAAAATTATGAAGTCAAAGAAGAAGCACTGGCCAAGCTGTCGGAAAGAGTCAGAGGCATTCTATCTCAGCTGGAGACATGGACGCTGGAGCATGTTAAGAGGGAAGACAATCATCATGCAGACGCCTTGTCAAAATTGGCAACCGCGATGGATTTCGAGGGTGACCGCCAAGTGATAGTAACCAAAGAAGCTGGGTCAAGTTACGATGTCATGGTAATAGAAGACGAGGACGTGGATTGGTGGTTGCCAATAATCGATTTCTTGGAGAACGACACGGTCCTTGATGATGCCACCCAAGCCCGGTCACTAAGGAAGAAAGCAGCTCACTACGCCTTGGTGGGCGGTCAGTTGTGTAAGAGATCTTTCTCAGAAACATACTTAAAGTGTCTAGGGCCGACAAAGCAAAGTGGATGCTCAAAGAAACTCATCAAGGAATGTGTGCTTCACACTCTGGACCGAGAAGTCTCGAGAGAACTATATTGCTGCAAGGCTATTACTGGCCAACGGTGAAGAAAGAAACAATGGAGGTAGTCTGAGGATGCCACGAATGTTAGGTGCATGCTAGCACAAATTGGATAGAGGCTGAACCGCTTGACACAATCACTAGTGCCAAGATCCAAAAGTTCCTATTCAACAACATAATGATCAGGTTTGGAACGCCTAATACCGTCATCACTAACCACGGCAAAAGTTTGACTATAGGCCATTCGAAAACTTCTTCGCAAGAAACCACATTATCTGCAAAATGGCCTCAGTCGCATTCCCCTAAGAATACGAGCAAGTTGAGTCATCAAACAAGTTGATCTTGCAAGGGTTGAAGAGAAGGTTTAGTGAGGCTAAAGGAGGGTGAACCACGGAGCTACCACATGTACTCTGGGCGCACCACACGAACTACAAAAAGGCAACTGGAGAAATGCCGTTCGCTCTTACGTATGGCTATGAAGAAGTCTCACCCATTGAAATGGATCCCCCCTCATTGAGAGTCCAAACGTACAACTCGAATGAAAACCAGAGGAAGCTGCTTCATCAACTGGACATGGTCAAAGCCCGGAGAGACAAAACACTACTCAGGACCATCAAGGAAAAGTCCAAGGTAGCAAAGGCTTACAACAGAAAGGTGAGACCTCGACCGCTAGAAGGAGACATGGTCCTGAAAAGGAACTTTGAGCAGAAAGAAGGGCATGGCAAGTTAGCTGTCATATGGGAAGGACAATTTCCTATCGGAGAAAAGATAGGCCCTGCAACATACGTGCTCGACACAGTCAAAGGGAAGCCGGTAACCAAGAATTGGAATACCATCCATCTAAAGGAGTACTTCGCTGAGTAGTTAAAGAAAGACCGCTGGGACACGTAGCATTTTGTACGATCATGAAAACTTGGACAAATTCGAACCACCCCCGAGCGATAAGCTATAAGTTATTCACCATTCGAATAACCACGGTTTAAACCGCCTCTCGGTGATAAACTAACGCACAATTTAAAGCAATCAAAACCACCCCCGAGTGATAAGCTATAAGTTATTCGCTATTCAAATAACCATAGTTTAAAACCGCCTCCGGGTAATAAACTAAGAATTGTTTGCCATTCGAACAACCGCAGTTTAAGACCACCTCCTGGTGATAAACCAGTGCACAGCTCGAGCAAAAAAACGCCCCCGAGAGAATACGCAAGAAAAATTTCCAAAAATCAGCCGCTGAGCAAAGGCTACAAAAGTGGCTTGCCAATTAAAATCGTCCCGAGCGAATAACAAAGGCGGTACATAACCATGCAAGAAAGTGTCACAATTCAAAGTACAAACATCTAAATAACCACACGATAGCAGAAATGTCTTAAGCACCATAAAGAATGAAAGTAATAAGGTCTCAAAAAATCATCAAGGCTCACAGTGACAGAGATGATCACTGCGCTGACCCGCCATCAACCTGAGACTGATGATTAACCTCCCCTCCAGCGTCTCCTGCGGTATCCTTAACCTCTTCAGAGTTCACATCATCATCGCACCAATCCTCGACAGCGTCCCCAATAGAATGGGAATCCATACAACCCTAGTATACTCACGACGAAACTAGTGCAGATGGATACCATAGTGTTCCTCAACAACTTGTTATACTTGTCAGCCGCCTTGAAATTATCGGAGTCGAGAAAAGTCGCCTTAGTAACCTCAACCATGTTTTTTTAACTCAACTTCACAATTGCTCTTCATGGACGCAATCTCGCTCTTCAAACATGCCACCTCATCACCAGCCTCCTTCTCTCGCTCAGCAGCTTCCTACGTGCCCTTCTGAGTAAGTTCAACAACGTCCTCCACCTTCTTTATCTTCTCTTTGGTTGTGGCGAGTTCGACGTCCTTCTCAATGAATGTGGCTTCTTGCTCCTTCATGATCTCTTCCGGCAACTCCTGCATGAATGCTTCAAGTCCCCCTTTCAACTGATCTTGGAGTTGGACTATCTTCGAATTGCGGTCGTCCGGATCACGTTGAAGGCGGTCGTTATGATGCACTATCTGATTAATCCCAAATTGAGTCAACAAGATTTTAAACAAGTTAGGAGCGACAGCCGAGAAGAAAGGGAACAAATGGGAAAATATACTTACAGCAAACAGGCATCGTGTGCTGGCTTTGGCTAGATGCCATGTATCAGATGTAAGGACAGCGATCCCGGTGACTCAGGTGTATTCGATGGGAAGAGAAAACTACTCGGTGATGGTACACATGGCACGCTTAGCCGACTCTAGGTATAAGGTGGTGTGCGAAGAAAAAATAGCAGTCGCTGAAAGCTCGGTCCTCCTTTGTTTTTTCTTGTGGGTAGTATCAACGAGGACGCCCTTCATCCTCGATCTTGACTGATCTCCCGCGGTTTCCCCATCCTTCACTGCCAAGTCGTCCAAGGACCGCTTCGTAGAGCCTTGACTCGAACCGGACTCCGCCACCTTCACCACTCTCGAGCGACTTACCATAAGTTGAGTCCGGATAGTCGCCGGAAGAACAATAGCATGCCTATCTAGCTAGCTACCAGAGGGAGTAGCGGTCACAGCAACAGGTGCACCAGAGGATGGCTTAGGCGGCCTTGCGCTCGACGCATACCGACAGACACCTACAAAAGAAACCCATAAGTGAAGGCACGAGACACTTATAATAAGTTTCTTGAAAGTGAAACTAACTAATCGTGAAAGCGCCGAACTATTTCCAGCACAATATTATGCCCCTTCGGAGGAAGACAAAATTGGACGGCTGAAATTATTCGACCAAGAAGATCTTTGGGCCGAGCGCGAAACAAATCAAGATCAGTATTCCAATCTGCCTTGGGGCCGAACGCAAAGCGCGTCGGCAGTTCCACCTCACCGGAATACCACTATCACGTCGGGTGGGCAAAAAAATATTCTGTGAACTAAGGCGATTCTAGCTTCGGCGCCCCCATAGACAAAGCCCACATGGGTCTCACGTTTGTAATAAGACCAATAGTTGTGCGACCTGCGGATGGAGTAAAGGAGGAGAAACGCATTGAAGGAAGGCATCGAGTTCAGCCTTTTGCATGCCGCTAGGAAGGCAATGGAATGAAAGATTATGCTAGGAGAGAGGCGGCCTAATGAACAGTTAAGGAATAACAGGGTGTTAGTAAAAATCAGATCCATCGGAAATCTCTGTACCATCCGAATGTGTTCAACATGAATCGCAATCCATCCGCCGGGACATGATCCAGTGCTTCCGATAGGAGAAGGAGCCGCATATTCCCAATCTGACGGAAGTCTGTGGTTCTTCAGCCGACGCAGAACCAGGGAGGGGCTATAAGCGGAAAGCGGCCTCGTTAGGCGGCCAAGAAAATTGAAAATGAATAGAATTTTGAGCACCTATGCACCTCACCTCATATCCAACGACAAAATTTAATCAACTTTGATGCATTAATTGCAATAAATTAGTAATAAAAATTTTATACATTAATTGTATAGATTCCGTTTAAATTAAAATAAATTACTATTTTATTTACTTGCAACATGGATAAAAAGGTATTTATTAAAAAAAAAATTACTCCATATGTAATTGCAAGTTAATTGCAAATGGTGTTGTGTAAAAAAAAAAACCACAAATGTAATTGCAAATGCAATTGCACCACGTGGATGCTGGATGGCAAAGGAAAATTGCTACCGGGCAGCGGATAAATAGGTGTTCGAGCGCTGCAATGTTTCTAATTGGCAGGCACCAAATGACCGACATGAAACCTCACAATATTACAGTACCACCCAAAGCGCCAACTCCAAGCAAGCAGTGTGATGTTTAATAAGTTGCAATATCAGAAATGCATGTACAAACTTTTACTGTTAACATTGTTAACTATCTCGTCCACTTTTCGATTTCTCTTGAAGTTGCCTTAACTATCCTCTCCGCGGTGACAGCAAAATCGCTTAACAGGGCACCAAGCTCATCCCTGACGACAGTAGCACCCAGAAATGGAGAAACATTAGTAATTGCAGCATGGCTTGTCACTAATGTTTATCACCAGCAGTAGACATTGTACTAGCAATGCAAACATCAAGTGCTTCAGATTTGTACTTTACACTCAGAGCAAGAGCGTGGCCTGATACTAGAAGGTGTTTTATGAGTCACATGATTTGCATATAGCAACTAGCTGATATTCACTGTCAACATGATACAGCAATTCAAAGAATCCATAAGCAAACAGTTGCTAGTTCTTCCCTTTCTTCTCTATAGGAGGCTAATTACTTGGTAAAGTAATAAGAGGTTTTTACTACACGGCTTCGGACGGGCACAGAGGTACAGTTACCATCACCAATGTAAACTCACTCACATTAACAATCTAGTTCCCCCTGGTGTTACTTTCAAGTCCTTAAAGGCAGTCTGAAGATCGACAACCGTTTTGCTATTAGATGTGTATGTACACCTACGACTCCATAACAGTTCTAACTTTTAATTATCCCTCGTCCACCTCTTCCAATCTCTAGCAATTGCCTTAACTCTCCTCTCCGCCTTTACAGCAAATTCACTTAACAGGGCACCAATCTCATCCCTGATAACAACAACCCAGAAAGAGAAAAGCATTAGTGATTGCAGGATGGGTCTCCATCAATCTTTAGTACAAAGTTGTAACAACCAATTCAAACACCGGGCTGCTTGGAGCAATCACGACCTGATACATATAGCTGTCTGCTTGCCATATGGATCTGGCATTTACACTATTGTGACTAACAGCAAGTGCACAAAGAATGTGGCACTCACACGCATATAATATCATACACAGAATCAGTGAACCAATAGTTCATTTGAAGGTGTTTGGTGCTGCTATATGCACCTGGGATTCACCCCATTGTGGCTAACTGCTAGTGCACGACTAATACAGAGCACTAGTGAAGAATAATACCAATTCAAAGAGCCAGTGAGTCACAATTCATATGAAACTCATATAGCTCGCTGCAACCTTAAGGAACATAGCTAGCAGTACAGCAGATCGGAAAGAACACATTTACTTTGCAAAGTAATAAAGATCTTGAGTTTTGACCACATGGCTTCAATGCAGGCACAAAAAGGGAACATAATAGCTAGGGAAAAATCTACACTTGCTTAGATTAACATTCTACTTCTCTCTACTCTCTAATGTCACTTTGAACTTTGAAGTCCCAACGGTATTCTGGTATTCTTTTCCAAACGACGGAGAAATTTTTGTACCAAATTGAAATTTTAGACCAACCTTGTTCTCATAAGATCCATGGCAGCAAGCAACACAATCGAATTTTCATCTTGCGAGTTGTATTGCGAATGAGCATGACTACAGAGATACAAATTGTACTTGACTGGGCCTAACATGACACGTAACAGTAAAATACCGCTCTGGTATGATCTCGATAAACTCTATCAGCATCCAGATTGCGAATGTTACGTAAACAAGAGCAGCAGCATAATTGGAACTGACAGCGAACAGCTAGTGTAAATATGTGCTACCAAATGTAAAGTGATGAAAGCTTTCCATGGAAGAAACAAGCACAAAATCAGGGAAATTTAAGCAAAACAAGTATTGGATGTACTTACTGCGTAGTGGAAAGAGTGGATCGACCACGGAAATGGTTGCCAACGTTGGAGTATCTGCGGTTGTGATCATGAGCTACGCCCTTCCCCACACCATAACCAAAGCCATAACCTATCCCACAACCCGCACCCAATCCAATACCGGCCTGAAGGCCGGGAATTCCAGGACCGATTCCAAACCCTCCAATCAGGCCGACGCCGAACCCGACTCCACAACCGGCGCCGAACCCGAAGGCTGGGCCGACCTTCCCGATGTCCTTCACCCTCACTTCCGGAAGCTTCCACAGCAATCCCTTTTCTTCATCGCTGTCGCTGCCGGTGAAGCTGTTCATCTGTGCAACCAATTTCCTCGGTTCTTGTTTCCTCCTTTTGCCGTTCTTTGCAGATGAAGAAAGGGAAGGCAAAGGATAATATAAGGTTTTTTAGTTTTTCTTCGATTATTATATTTCTACTGGAAAAAATATAGGCTATTCCTATAAAAAAATAGATATATAGAGACAAGAGGTTACTGCCAAAATGGAGAGACTAAAAGTAAAGCTGTCGCGATAGTTAAGGTTCAGATCCCGTGTTCGAATCCAAGTGATATAACCCGGTAACTCGAGTTCTATCTAGGGATTGGATTTAGAAGGGATCAACTAGGGATTTATCCTTGGAGCAATCAACAAAAGGGAGAATTGGAAAATGGGTGGGAAGTGAAAGAAGAAGGGGGAAGGGGGAACGGCTGCTTGGCAGCATAGAGGGACTAGGGAAGAGAGGGAAGTTGGCGGCGGCAGCCGCTTGGGAGAGGGAGAAGGGAAATCGGCAGAGGGAGGAGAGAGATAGGCAGGTTAGGATGAAATTTACGTATAATCTTGCTTAGTGGTAAATCTCACGTACAAGCATATTTATTTAAATGCATAATTCTCAAATACTATCCAAATAATTGACTCCCCACAATTACCCTGAAATAACCTTCATAATCCGAAATAATAATAAACTAACAATAATCCCCAAAAATATGAGTTTCTATCATCCCCGCTTCCATCGAAAACAACCTTGTCCCCAATGTTGTTCCTTACTTACTGGTTCTCTTCCTTAGCGGCCTCAATGTCTGTTGTTGCGTCCTCCGCTTCTTCCTCCAAGCGCCCTACTAGCATCATCAAGTCTGGCTTTGCGTATTGATGGCCAACAGTGAACTGGCAATCACAATTAAAACACTTGCCCTCCCGCCGCATCTGCTCGATCTCGGCAAGCGTCAGTCGCACGAACCCATTTGGCAGCTGTCGGGGTCCCACTCTGCCCCCCGGGGATGTGACCACCGCGGGGCTCCCACTTTCGGCGCTTGCCCCGGCCGTGCTGATTGGCGCCGACCCTCCTCCGCCGGCCTCAGTGCTGCTACCTCTCTCACTCGGCCGTGGATATCGGCCGATAGTGCTCCAGGTAACTGATTGACTCGTGATCCACGTTCAACATCCTGCAAAATCGACAACATGCACCATACGTGGAAATAAATGTCAATCACAACTTATTGGGAGGAAAAAGAATTCCCCCACACTTAAATTTACAGTACGGATCCATGCTAATCAAAACAATTAAGCCTAAGCACACCGCGACATGATTCTAGGTGGTTATAGATTATCTCACATAGAAATTCAAACCCGAACCATGCCACAGTGGCTACCAACCACCACTCAATCAAAAAATTTCTCATCATTGAACAATTAGTACTTGATGGGCAAATTTCAAAAATACAAGCAATTCAAATTAAAACATGCCAACCAAGGCTCAATTAAGCTCAAGCAACATCATTCAATCACCCTAATTCACCTAATTCCTCGCCCTAATGCTAAGTTCAACAATCAATTCACTAAAATTCTCCTCATTTCACTACTTAATCCGATTCTCCCAAAATAAATAAGGTAGAGCTGAAAATAAACCTCGAGACTCAAGTAGGATGTAGGAGGAAGTGAGGTGAGGGCGAGGATGGTGAAAATTGGCTGAAAAAAAGACAGGAGAAGGTCGCCAAAGCTTCATCGGAAGCTCGCCGGAATCTCATTTGAGGCTCGCCTGCGGCGACTTTTTCGGAAAAAATGTGCTCCAAATATCCCAAAAATCTCGGCGAATGCCGCCTCTGAAGAGGAGAGAATGGGTCTGTGTTTGGTTTTGGGTTTTGCTCGACGAAAATGGGGGAAATGGCCGAAAACCATCAAAGTTTTGCGGTTTTCTGTCAAGATTTGAATTTTCCATTGAGTTTTGGGTCGTGAAGTGAAGAGTCAACGTTCACGCCCCTTTTATAGGCGATGCTCGCAGTTCTCAGATCCTCATACTTTTCGAATTAGCTGAAATGGTACCTGAACTGATGGGTTTTCGTTCCAAACTTTCGATGCTCGTTTCTCCCTCGTCCGACGTCAAAATTCTATTTCGTCGAAACGGTGATGATCCTGGGATCGTCCTCTTTGCAACGGTAAATTTTTTTGAAGTTTTGTCGAAGTCAACAAAGTCAATGACGCCGGGTTGGTCTTTGGAGGTCGCCGATACTTCTAGGCTGTGTTTCAGATGAGAGACGGGTGGAGAACTGATCGACGAGCAGAGTTACGTGCGGAGGCGGGAGGCGGTGTACGCTCGACGCGAACCGAGGCGAGTTGCTGCTTTCGTTGGCCACCGGTGATTTGAGATCCCACGCCCTGCTTCTGATCGAGGTAAGTTGGTGATGTAGCCTCGGAAGTGATGATGATGGTGTTCGTCGGCTGGTGGTGGCGATGTGTTTGACGGTGGGGAGATGGGGTGATGGCGCTTGGAGGAGTCGACAGGGAGAAGGAATGGAAGGAAGGCAATTGGGTTTCTTGTTTATTTGCTGAGAGAGAACAAATGGAGCTGCTTCCCCTGTACAACTACTGCCCGGGCTTCCATTTTTTCAATTTAATGGCAAAACTAATGGGCAATGACTTCTCTCATTATAGTTCACGTGAACCCCATTATTTCATCACCTACCATGATCCCAAATTAATGAAATCCACACTCATCTGTTGGAGGGTTTTCTCTATAATGGGAAACAAGTGGGGTGAGGGAAATATAATTGTTGGGGTGGGTTCACGAGAGAGAGAGAGATGGAGAAGTGGGGTGGTGTGGGGGTGTAGCAGTTAGGGTGGGGTGGGTTTTTGATTTGTTTTAATAATAATAACAATAAGTTATTGATATTATTCCTAATTGGCAATTGTATCCATTTCTACGTAAACGTTTATTCAATCGTTCACTTACTATGGTCGAACTCGAACTCAAATGTCGGGGTGTTATACCCAGTGGAAGGAAAGGGGCAAAGCAAAAGTCATCGGCCAAGAAAGCCACCCCATGGAGAGTGAGTTGGGAATTGACATGCCTCGCCCCGAGAACGTGGCAGATTCACTCTCGGCGGCATCACGTTCAAAGGCGTGATAGATCTGCAATGTTAAGCTAGTGACGTTAACTTAGCGCTTGTTGGGAGGCTACCCAATTTAGAATTTCTTTTCCTTATTTTTCGTTTTTGTGTGTCAAGTGAATAGTTCAAGTGGTCGAGTGGTATCCCCATGCCAAGTTTTGTGGTTGTGCGTTTTGAAGCTGTGTCGTGATCGATAGTAGGAACGGTGGAATAGGTTGAGTAAACAAAAATTCAGAAGTGCCCTGTTTTCACTTCAGTTCACGGACACATTGCTAAATTCACGGTCTTATAAGACCGTGACTCTGCAATCCGTCCGTGAACAGGGGATGGTCGACAAGTGTTACACACGTGGAAGTGCCTGGTTCACAGACGCGTTTGCCTGTTCACGGTCTTATAAGACTGTGAACTTAGCAATGTGTCCGTGAACTGAAGTGAAAACAGGGCACTTCTGAATTTTTTTTTACTCAACCTATTCCACCGTGCCTACTATCGATCACGACACAGCTTCAAAACGCACAACCACAAAACTTGGCATGGGGATACCACTCGGCCACTTGAACTATTCACTCGACACACAAAAACGAAAAATAAGAAAAAGAAATTCTAAATTGGGTAGCCTCCCAACAAGCGCTAAGTTAACGTCACTAGCTTAACATTGCAGATCTATCACGCCTTTGAACGTGATGCCGCCGAGAGTGAATCCTGCCACGTTCTCGGGGCGAGGCATGTCAATGCCCAACTCACTCTCCATGGGGTGGCTTTCTTGACCGATGACTTTTGCTTTGCCCCTTTCCTTCCACTGGGTGTAACACCCCGACATTTGAGTTCGAGTTCGACCATAGTAAGTGAACGATTGAATAAATGTTTACGTAGAAATGGTTACAATTGCGAATTAGGAATAATATCAATAACTTATTGTTATTATTATTAAAACAAATCAAAAACCCACCCCACCCTATCTGCTACACCCCCACCCCACTTCTCCATCTCTCTCTCTCTCGAACCCACCCCAACAATTATATTTCCCTCACCCCACTTGTTTCCCATTATAGAAAAAACCCTCCAACAGGTGAGTGTGGATTTCATTAATTTGGGATCATGGTAGGTGATGAAAGAATGGGGTTCACGTGAACTATAATGAGAGGAGTCATTGCCCATTAGTTTTGCCATTAAATTGAAAAAATGGAAGCCCGGGCAGTAGTTGTACACGGGAAGCAGCTCCATTTGTTCTCTCTCAGCAAATAAACAAGAAACCCAATTGCCTTCCTTCCATTCCTTCTCCCTGTCGACTCCTCCAAGCGCCATCACCCCATCTCCCCACCGTCAAACACATCGCCACCACCAGCCGACGAACACCATCATCATCACTTCCGAGGCTACATCACCAAATTACCTCAATCAGAAGTAGGGTGTGGGATCTCAAATCACTGGTGGCCAGCGAAAGCAGCAACTCGCCTCGGTTCGCGTCGAGCGTACACCACCTCCCGCCTCCGCACGTAACTCTGCTCGTCGATCAGTTCTCCACCCTTCTCTCATCTGAAACACAGCCTAGAAGTATCGGCGACCTCCAAAGACCAACCCGGCGTCATTGACTTTGTTGACTTCAAAAAAACTTCAAAAATTTGTTTTCGTTGCGAAGAGGACGATCCCAGGATCATCACCGTTTCGACAAAATTGAATTTCGACGTCGGACGAGGGAGAAACGAGCATCGAAAGTTTGGAACGAAAACCCATAAGTTTAGGTACCATTTCAGCTAATTCGAAAAGTATGAGGATACGTCTGCAATTGTGTTGGGAAATAACCAGATCGGTCCCTCGATTTCCAATATGAACTACTTAGTCCCCAACGTTTTAAGTTTTGAAGATTTGGCCCGAAAATCATATTTTTCATGGTTAGGTTTATTTCTCTTGCTGTGCGATAAGTATTATAGGGATCTGATAATTTTATAAATTGGAAGTGATTCATAAGATGCTTGAGTATTAATTTTAAGAATTTTCGAATCATCATTTCTAATTTTAGAAATTGGTTCCAAGTCGGTTTTTAATTATATAAATATAATGCGAAGAC